GGGGGTGGGGGGGTATTGAGCTATTCTAGGATTTCCTAGGCTTTCTTTCTAATTCTCTGGAATAACCTTTAAAAACAAATAAATTTCTTGGGTGTATCCAAAATAAATACATCTACATGGTGTATCCTAAATAAATAGAATTGCATATGATGTATCCAAAATAAATTGCTCTACATTGTGAATCCTAAATAAATAGATCTACACGGTGTATCCTAAATAAATAGATCTACATGGTGTTTCCTAAATAAATAGATTTATATTGTGTATCTTAGATAAATAGATCTACATGGTGTTTCCTAAATAAATAAATAGGGTATTTCAAATAACTGAAAAAAAGGTCCAGAAATCTCAAATATAATCGGCCTAAAGTCTAAACTATTTGTAAAAAGGTGTATAAGTTATTCGAAACAGAGAAATTAATAATAATTGGGAAAAGTAATTGTTTAAGTACGCACTTGCCTCACCCTAACAAACTAAGTAAAATTAATGACCCTTACCGCAGGTATAACATTTAGCTTTTTAATTTAACATCAGGTGATTTAAAATTTTACTAATTTTTGGCATATTTGAAATGGCCTGGTCATTGGTCCAGGGCTTTTCAAAAATGTATATTTTATCATTTTATGGACATTTTTTTGCAAGCATTTTATACCTTCCTTGAAAGCTCTATGCTGCAAAAATTCTATATAGAATTCTACAAGATAGATTTATATTATTTGCAATAAATTGTTTTCTTATTTATAGAAACCACATTGAAAATAGTTTAAATGAAGTTCCTTATTCGAGAATCCGGATATTTTTTCTCAGAAAAATACCTTTAAAAATGTATTTTTCTCAGAAAAATACATTTATAAATTTAAGGTGGAAATTCATAAATTTGAAGCGGGGTCAACTACCTCTTTCTCATTCAAAAATTACATTTTAAAATGATGAAACGTTTGGTCAGGGGTGAGCTTTAAAAGCTTCAATTTTCATTGAATTAGATAATTAAATCGAAAAAATATAATTAAAGAACTTTTAAAGCAGTCTCAAGTGACCCTCCATTTATAGAGTGACATATTCAATTCAAAACAGTCCCCACGTTACCCTTTTTCTGAGTAACAATGAGGAAGATATTGTTATTTTTCTATCTTAAAAATTGTTAGATTCTGACATTAAAAAAAAATTCAGCATAATGTCCAATTTACTGTTCACTGACATAGAGAATAGAATATATATAAGAGGGGAATTTACTAGAAAAAAAGTGTAAAACGGCCATTTTGTTGTACTGTTTCCATACTGCAGGTGTATTTCACATATTTGCGCTATATAACCTTTTGGGCCCTGGAACATCATTTTCTAGAAAATAAATCTAAAATTTATATTAAAAGAAAACTAAATAGGCTGGTTTCATAATTGACCAATGATCATTTCACACAGACTCTATGCCTTTTACTTTACAAACGATGATTTCCCGTTATAACTATAAATCAAATGATGTTTTTATTCACCTGATTCATTTTATAAAGTTTATTTAACAGCTTTAAAGAATTCGAAATTAAAATCATGGATAGTCTAGGGAACATACTGTATTAATGTATACTCTACTGCATATAATTTGTGAACATTTACATGATTTGTACACTTTGAACTGAACTCCCTTTCAGGCTGAAAGAGACTGAAAAAATTCATACCGAGGGATTGACTGAATTCCACTATAATATATATTCTATTCTCTTTGATTAGCCAAAGTGTATACTTCGGACAGTTTACTGATCAAGGATATTAAGAGATGATGGCCTAATCATACAGTACACACATCAAATATGCAGTACGCTTTCGGAGTACAAGTGTATGGGGAGGTTTTGAATCTTAAATTTTACTCAGTCTTATCAGAACCGTTTATTTATCATGAAATATTGCTCTGTAAAAGACTGTCATATTACGTCTTCCTGTGAAAATGGAATCCTGCACACTATAAAGGTGTAGTGGATTTTAATAGTTAAATGGAAAACAAATTCTCTTATAATTAAATATTTCCAGAAATCACCCCCGAGTACTGTCATATACAGATTGACCTTTGGAAGTGAAGTACATGGCCTGTACAATTAGTAAAGGATTAGCGTACATTCCTTTAAAGGAGAACTAAATTATACAGTTGTAGATCAAAGTGAATATTTATTCACTTTGGTTGTAGATACGGGAGACTAATCTAGCATCAAATTACTTCTGCAAATTAAACAAAGTAATTAGGAATACTTACTTTTAGACTATTTCTTTTTCTTCTCTAATACCTACTCGCTCTTTAGGTTTCTAATAATTAAAGGGACAGTATGCGAAATATTAAATGAGCCTCCATGCAAGGATGGTAATGCTCGATTCACAACGGTACCCTAAAAGCTTTCTTTGGTGAAGTATGAATTATACATATCAATGTTTATAATTTGGAAAACTGATTATTATTAATTGTGGTTTCTCTACAAAATTAACTTCTCTACTACAGAAAAACAAACAGAATTTATCCGAATTAAGCAGTTTTAAATTTAGAAAAACGAAAATATCTTCCACATTGATTATCGATATGGGTTTCAAGGGAACCGTTGTGAATCGAGCAATGTCAATTGATTTAATTTAAAATCAATAAAAGTATTTGAATTCGTAAAAAACAAGATGTAAGAGATAACAAAAAGTTTTTCGTTGAATTTTCCCCTTTGTTGCTAAAAAAGCATTTTTATAGTGGTTTTGTTTTTTGTTTTAAAGTAATATAATTAAATAAACTATTATTTAAAATAAATAGAATGTTCAAGTATATTTTGGTTTTAAACTAGTCTCCTTTATATATATATACAGGGTGAGTAAAAAAAAGTGTGATTTGCGGCGCCTGCTGCAAAATTGTGCCTTTTTTGTGCAACTCTCCTGTATGGTGTTTTTTCAATATTCAAGGGTGAGTAAAAAACTTACCGGTATATACAGGGTGAGTAAAAAACTTACCGGTATATACAGGGTGAGTAAAAAAAGTGTGATTAGCGGCGCCTGGTACAAAAGTGTACCTTTTTTGTGCAACTCTCCTGTAGGGCATTTTTAAAATATTTTTTGAAAATTTGTAATTTTTTTTGGCACTCCAATGGCCCAAAAGAAAATCCGCGAATCTTTTTTTCTCTCACAATTAAAAGTCCAGAAAAGCAAAAATGTGTATTCATATTATTTCTCTCTAAATCTAAAATATTATTAAGATTGAATCACAGAATCACAGAAAATTGATAAAATTGCAATAAAAAAATTCGCAATTTTCAGTTATGGTCTAATTTTTACGGAAAAGTTATTTAAATTCTCAAGTTCCTTTCTTCTTATTATATTCTGAAGTATTAAATATAAGCTGTTCAGTTGAAACCTTAAGAACCATAGAAAAATAATTTTTCTGTAAAATTTAGACCAGAACTGAAAATTGTGAATTTTCTGAGATTCTGTGATTCAATCTTTTTAAAATTTTAGATTTCGATAGAAAAAATTTATTCACACAGTTTTGCTGTTCTAAACTTTTGATTTTGAGAGAAAAAAAAAGTTCGCGGATTTTTTTTGGGCCATTGAAGTACCAGAAAAAATTACAAATTTTCAAAAAATATTTTAAAAATGCCCTACAGGAGAGTTGCACAAAAAAGGTACACTTTTGTACCAGGCGCCGCTAATCACACTTTTTTTTACTCACCCTGTATATACCGGTAAGTTTTTTACTCACCCTGTATATACCGGTAAGTTTTTTACTCACCCTGTATATACCGGTAAGTTTTTTTCTAATTTTTCTTTAAAATATTTTACTAGAATTCACAAAGTTTACAAACTTTAAAATCATTTTTTGAATCTGATATGTTGTTTAAAACTTGTAAAACTTATTTAGAAATGTTCAGAAAAATCAATAAATTCTTTTAAAACTCATTAAAGGCACAGGCGTTCTTAGATGTGGGCTATGGGGGCTAAGTCCCCCCCCCTGGATCAGAAAAATCTAAAGTTTCTTGGTGATGCACCCCCCTTAGAGAGAAAACAAATTCAATCCCTACCCATTGGACAAATTCCTGAGTACAACCCTAATTAGAGGATATACTATAAACTCATCAAGGGATAAAGAATAAACTTCTGACAAGATAAACTCCTGAAAGAATAGACTTCTGTAAGGATAAACTACTGATAAACTTTTGATAAACTCCTAAAAAGATAAACTTTAGAAAGAATAAAATCCGTAAATGATAAAATCCAGAAAGAATAAACTCATTAAAAAATAAACTCATTAAAAAAATAAACTCATTAAAGGATGTACTCCTGAAAGAATGAACTTTTGAATTAATTCCCAAAAGGTTAAACATCTTAACAAAAAAAACTCTTGAATTACTCTCCAAAATATAAACTCTTGAAAGGATAAACTCCGGAAAGACAAACACCTGAAAGAATAAACTCTTGAAAGGATAAACTTCTGAAAGGATAAACTCCTGAAAGGATAAACTCCTGAAAGGATAAACGTCTGAAAGGATAAACTCCTGAAAGGATAAACTCGCTTTAGTTATAAGAAACAAAGAATGTTTGAATTTAAAGCACGTGTCAGTTCAAGTTTTTATACTTTTTGCTTTGGGGCCCTGAAATATATAATTTAGAGCTGTGGGGCCCTAGAGTAAACACCTTGCAGGGGATACTGGTCCATCATTAGCAACTGTATTCACTATCACACTAAAAAAGAAAAATATACACATTAAAGTGATTTTATATTTGATATGCAAACGCTTCGTATCAATGCTTCATACCAATATATTGTTTTGAATTTGATACCTCTTTCTTTAATTTGTAAACCGTCAAATTTTAACATTTTACAGCTTTTTTAAAGAGAAGACTAAAGCTTAAAATGCATCTCAGAACAAACCTTTGAAGTCCTCTTTGAAGATAAAAAATGTCAAAAAAGTGTAGTATCACTTTTTCAGAAACGAATTCAACAATCAAGTAAGAAGTTAAAGAAATAATCAATGAAACATAATTTTAGTAGATGATAAAAACAACTCGAAGAAATTCTTAGTAATTATATATATGACATTAAAACTGAAAAATTTGTCAGTTTTAAGTGTTTAAAATATAGGTACGAACTTTGAATGCTTAATACTGATTCCAATTTTTTAACAATCCTTTTAAAACTGAGCTATATTTATATACTATCAATTCGATCAGAGCTGACAACTTTAGAATCAGATATCCTGAATCCCGATCACTTAAATTGAGTATCCAATAAACACACTTTTGATATTCTTCTTAAACCGTTCCGTCTTGGATATAGTAGAGAAAAAATTAAAAACCGGTTTTTTAAATAAAAGAGTTCCTCCCGTTTCTGTATATTAATCTTGAATGTCGGGCAAAATTTCAAATTTATCGGCTTCATATACGCTACTCTGATTGGTTGAATTTTATACAGTTTTTAGGATACAAGTACAAGATTAGGTTAGTCTCAATATTAAGAAAAAGAGAGGATCAAGCATTAATCTCGATATCCACCATTCTAAAGTTTTCAGCTCATGTCAATTAAAGTGTTCAATCCATTTTCCTCCTCAACTACTTCTCCTTTAATTGATTAAGTAGATATACATTAATCCTAAACATAAAACAGATACATTCAAGCTAGACAATAAATGTAAGAACTCACATAGATCTAGCCTACGCTTAGGTTTAGATCAATATATCACATAGATATAGCCTACCTAGGTTCAGTTCAAGATATCACGTAGATCTAGCCTACTTAGGTTTAGTTAAACATATCACGTAGATCTAGCCTACGCTTAGGTTTAGATCAATATATCACGTAGATCTAGCCTACCTAGTTACAGTTCAAGATATCACGTAGATCTAGCCTACTTAGGTTCAGTTCAAGATATCACGTAGATCTAGCCTACTTAGGTTCAGTTAAACATATCACGTAGATCTAGCCTACGCATAGGTTTAGATCAATATATCACGTAGATCTAGCCTACTTAGGTTCAGTTCAAGATATCACATAGATCTAGCCTACCTAGGTACAGTTCAAGATATCACATAGATCTAGCCTACCTATTTACAGCTCAAGATATAACGTAGATCTAGCCTACTTAGCTTCAGTTAAACATATCACGTAGATCTAGCCTACGCATAGGTTTAGATCAATATATCACGTAGATCTAGCCTACTTAGGTTCAGATCAATACATCACGTAGATCTAGCCTACTTAGGTTCAGTTCAAGATATCACGTAGATCTAGCCTACTTAGGTTCAGTTCAAGATACCACATATATCTAGCCTATTTATAGGTTCAGTTCAAGATACCACATAGATCTAGCCTATTTATAGGTTCAGTTCAAGATATCACGTAGATCCAGCCTATTTATAGGTACAGTTCAAGATATCACGTAGATCCAGCCTATTTATAGGTACAGTTCAAGATACCACATAGATCCACCCTATCTATAGGTTCAGTTCAAGATATCACATAGATCCAGCCTATCTATAGGTTCAGTTCAAGATACCACATAGATCTAGCTTATTTATAGGTTCAGTTCAAGATACCACATAGATCTAGCCTATTTATAGGTTCAGTTCAAGATATCACGTAGATCTATCTTATTTATAGGTTCAGTTCAAGATATCACGTAGATCCAGCCTATCTAAAGGTTCAGTTCAAGATATCACGTAGATCCAGCCTATTTATAGGTACAGTTCAAGATATCACGTAGATCCAGCCTATCTGCAGGTTCAGTTCAAGATACCACATAGATCCAGCCTATTTATAGGTTCAGTTCATAATATCACATAGATCCAGCCTATTTATAGGTTCAGTTCATAATATCACATAGATCCAGCCTATCTATAGGTTCAGTTCAAGTAACCACATAGATCCAATTTCAACAATGTCCAAGTATAGGGTTTACTAGCTAGAGTCCCCGGCATTGCTCAGGTTTATATTATTAATCATAATTACTCCCAACGTTTACCCGCCCTTGGTATTAAATCATGATTTATTATTATATAGAAGATAGGAGTGGTTTTATGTCCAACTGGTCAGAAACCCGCCGAGTTGTGACTCTCACACTAGAAACCATTAGAAATACATGACTAGGGAGGTGGTGCTGGGACGCCATGAGCCCCGCAAAATGGTCTCCAAGCCTCTGGATTCGCAGATGAGTATTTTATATTTTAATAGTTATGCAGGGTTTTTTGGTTATTCAAGAAAACACTGCATAACTATTAAAAGATTAAATATTGTCTATAAAAAATGTTATTTATTACTTCTAAAATATTTTAAATACTCATCTGTGAATACGGAGGCGTGGAGAAAATTTTTCGACGCTCATGGCGGCCCTGCACCCTCTCTATCGCATGACACTTAAAGTAAAACCGTGCAGACAACCTCTGTGCAGCTTATGCTTTGTACAGTGGACAAACAGACTGCAGGCCACTTAATAAAGACAGTTTATCCAATGAACCTTCTCCTTCTAGTGTGATTAGGTTGGATAATGGCCATTGTACAAAGACACCATTGATAAACTAGAGAAACTGAATGGTACTACCACTACCTGCATAAAAGTCGGAATAGTACTTGAAATGAACCAAAGATTTCAGTTTCATCACCACTGCATGCAAGCAGTCAGCTATGTATCCCTTATCCTATCCTCCTTGTCAGATTATTATGAGGAGTCCACGTTAACCATGCAAGTATCCTCTAACTTATCCTATCCTTCTTGTCAGATTGTGATGAGCAGTCCACGTTAAACATGCAAGTATCCTCTAACTAATTTTTCCATTGTAAAAACTTGCAATTATTTATGAAATGAATATGCTAGAGCTACCTCAGAACCTGGTTGAACTGATGGTGTATATTTATGAAATGAATATGCTAGAGCTACCTCATGAAAGAACCTGGTTGAACTGAAGGTGTATATTTATGAAATGAATATGCTAGAGCTACCTCATGAAAGAACCTGGTTGAACTGAAGGTGTATATTTCCTAGTTTTATTATTCTATAATTATCAAACTATTTACAAACTTTTTATTCCTTCGATAAAAAACATAATGTTACTTGGCTTTTCAAACAACAGGTTGACATTTAATCCCTCAAACAGGAGTTCAGCTAAGTAAGAAAAAATTATATTTCTGTATCCATGCATACCCAATCAAACTGGCATGCCAGATTGCCACTGTATTGCCACCTATATATAGAAAAACTGGCAATTGAAGAATCGTACCGTTTTTGCCATCGGGTAATACTGGCAAAAACAGTCTAAATGAAATGTTGCCCGTGTTGCACTTTTTGACCTAATGTCTTTTTTACCCTTTGTCGTTTTACCCCTTTGTCGCGTTTTTGACCGTTTGTCGTTTGACCCTAGGTGTTTACCCTATGTCGTTTGACCTATGACATTTTACGTTTGACCCTTTGTCGGTGAATCGTTTTCTTCTCCATATTGCAAAACAAAGCTGGTCCATAAATTTGTACTTATATTGCCACACAGTAGTCCATAAACCATGTTTGTACCATACGCATATTCATTCATTTACCTGCAACTAGTGATGTGCATTAAGTTGGTTCGTTTTTGCGTGTCTTTTTTTTTGCCAAATTTATCTTTTTTTAGAATCAAAATTTGGCATAGTTTTAGAAAAGCAAATGTTTTTCTTAGCTCTTGCAGAATACAAAATTTTAACCCTGTTCCAAAAAAACGAATGCGTTTTAACGATTTAAAAAAAAAAATATGTCAAACCTTAACAGAATACAGTTTTGAAATCTTAAAAGTTTTATTTTTTTAAATGTTAAACTAACCCTAACGATTAACAACACCACCTGCAACACAAATTGTGCTGTATGGCCACTTATTTGTACTTTACTTCTATAAAAGATGATATTAAATATTAACTATAAAAGCAAGAAATGTTGCAAGTTTTTAAATGTTTGAAAAGTAATCGCCCAATTTCTTAATCGTGCTACCGTAAGTACCTATAGGTTACGCAGTAGATAGATAGATGCGTCATACGGTTGTACCTAAGGTAGCATGTTTAAGAAGTTGGGCTAATGTTTTTTTTTACCTGATTGGTCGTGTTTGGTCCTGGACATCAGTTTTGTTGTTTCGTAGTATATTTACCATGCTCATACGACTAAACAAATAAACATGAAGAAGATAACAACAAATACAGGGCGTCCCAGTGCATGTAACATGACAGTTGAGATATGGGTATGGTCATCTTCGATCTTTGAAATAATTTTTGAAATTTTAACTTTGTAGAGTTAATAAGTCTAATAATTCTAGAATTAATAATCACAAACTAACCATTGTCCCGGCATCTCTAGCATGTGGTCTGTTTTTTATTTTGCTTTCATTAATACCACAGTCTAAACAAAATTCTAGATATGTTGCCTTCACAATAAAAGGCAGACCACATTTTGGAAATACCAGAACTAGGAGAATTTTGTAATCTTTCTTTCAAGGATGATACATGTAAAAGTAGGGGGACAAACGAATGCTGCAGATAATTCCTGAACTGAATGTTATTATTATACAGGATGTCCCAAAAAACATGGGAATTCAGTGACGAATTTGATATCGTCTTTGTTATGAATTAGCATTGTGATACCTGATTTCAAAAGCCATAATATTATTATGTCTGCTAGAGTTTATTTTATGAAAAGGGTAAAAGACTGTAAAGATGTGTCTATAATGTCTATAATGAACAGTGAAGATGGACAAGTTTACTCTGTTTATATACTGCACTTTTCTTGTTTTACTAAGTACAACCGTATGCAGTCAAAACATAAACAAACAAAATGTAAACATAGCAGACGAAACTCTTACAGATTACAGCTTTCTCAGGTATCAATATACTAAATCAAAGAATTATCAAATTCGTCACTAAATTCCCATGTTTATTGGGACACCCTGTACTGTAATGTCTAAAGTTTCATGAGAGAAAGAGTGAGAGAGGGCAGGGGGATAAAGTAGTTTCTAACGGATATTATTATTATTACAAGAGAAAGAAGTTTCGAAAAGTGATTTGATCCAAACCTGACACTTACAGGGACTGTAAGTGTAATTATAAGTGATACTAATGACCGATTTATAACGGTACTTTAAAAGCTTAATCTGATCAAATGTGTGGAAGATAACGTCGATTTTCTGACCACACTCAACTCATGTCCATTTGAATCTGAGCTGAATCGACCTTCACGGTCCTAATTTGTATTGTCCCACCCGGTACATCAACTGCACTAGCCGACATGCAGGGGTCAATACAGAATCACTTTTGATCTAAAAACGCCAGAAATATAATTTCTCAAAGTTTTTTTTTCATTGAAATTGAATTTTGGTTTAAAAACAACGACTCTCTATAGTCAACTATAACGAGCGGGGGAAGGCAGGCGGCCATGAGCCACCACTATTTCCCCTTCCGTGCCACATATTAGCTTTTTTCTCTTCCGGCAGCCATGAGCCACCACTATTTCCCCTTCCGTACCACCACATTTGACTCTTCCGGGCAAAACTACTTTTTTAAATGGTATATTTAGGGCCTTTAAAGTATGATTTTAAAAAATCCAGCCGCGTCACGCAATACATATATATTTAGATCTCAATATTTCAGTGTTAATATGTAATAAGGATGATTTCTCTTAATGTAAAATGTAAAACTTTTTTTTTGCAAATTCTGATTTTCACAAAAAATGGTTTATTTTTAAAAGCAATATGAATATTAAAAATGACGCACCATAAAATAAACGTCAGTTTTGAAGGGAACCCTTGTGTGAAAATGTGCAATGTGTTAAGAAAAAATAGCAAAAAACCCCGTTTTTTTACAAAATCTGTAACGCCTAAGTAATGACAGTAATTTGTTTACCTGCTAAAATCTAAATTAAACTACCTCTTTTTTAAGAAAAGGTGGGTACAGTGCAGGGGGATAAAAAATATACTTGTTCTAAAACAATTTGGTTTAAACTCAACTCATGTACATAAAGGAATCTGAGCTGAACCGACTATTACGGTTCTAGTTTGTACTTCACGCCCGGTACACAAACTACAGCTGTTAGACAGGACTAGCTGGTGCAACTAGTTTGACGTATAGTCAGACTTAAAGTGGCAATTTTGCGTGAATGGGAAGATTGAAAGTGGAGTCCAAGTCTTAACTTTGCAATGTTGACAATTCTATACTCCAGAGATCAGACTACACAAAACAACCTTTTTAGACTAGCATTAAGTATTCTAAGACACTCACTCTTATAGAAAACACAGTGGCTGTCGACAATGTTTAAGAGACATTTCATTTGCGGAGATTTATGCCCGATAAATGGATTCTGAACTTTTGTGTTTTGAATCTCGAGATCAAGAATTGATCTCCATCTTTTGCAGACATACAGATTGATTTAATTCCTCTTCTATATCCCGTTGTGATCATACCCCGGCCTCATACAAGGATACCTTAATAAAATTTAAAAGTGCCCCCATCAGATATCGAAATCAAACGTTCAAAATTAATGATACTTTACAACTCAGAGGAAAAATTACTTAGGAATTCATGCAGAGACAATACAGAAAAGGAATTTATAACTTTTCTAGAGACAGATTTCTAGAGAGAAACAAATATATTCTGGACACCCTGAGCATTTTCAGAAATTCTTGGACATTCTTAAACCTTAAACAATCTTATTGTTTATGCATTCGGAGATTTTTAGAATATCCTTGAAATCCATAAATGTTTTGAATAATATTAAAAATACTAAGCTTTCAGGGCATCTTCTACTTCAATTCTGAACATTTTCTTTTTGTATATTGTAAAGCAAAATCAAAAATGTTCGGGGACTTTTTAAATTTTATAGAAAATCAAATTTTGTTGAAGGCTAATTTTTTTATTTTGATCATCCATAAACCTTTCCTGGGGTCACATGAGGTCCCACAAGAATTTGGGTCCAAAAGATATACCTGACAAGAGAGTCTGTTTTCTTCTGCTGAATATAGTTCTGTGAGTCAAATAATTACAAAAGATATACCTGACAACAGAGTCTGTTTTCTTCTGCTGAATATAGTTCTGTGAGCCAAATAATTACAAAAGATATACCTGACAACAGAGTCTGTTTTCTTCTGCTGAATATAGTTCTGTGAGCCAAATAATTACAAAAGATATACCTGACAACAGAGTCTGTTTTCTTCTGCTGAATATAGTTCTGTGAGCCAAATAATTACAAAAATGTCATTATATCTTCAATACTAATTTATCATCTATAGAAAATTTCTGAAATTTTACAAGAATTTATTGCAAATTACAGAATTAAATAAATGTGTATTTATAACCTTCATAAATTACTTTAAAAGTTTTATATTTATTCATTTTTATTTTACTAGAATTAGTTGTTTTTCTCATAATTATCAATATTATCATTATTATTGCAATTATTATTGTTATTATATAACCATGTCTATCTATGTATATTTTTGTATTTAAATGTTCCTGGTCGTAATCAAATGGAATGTTTACAGATACAGGACCTAAAGCAAATAAACATTTCATTAAAATATGTAAAAGAGAATTATAAACATTCAAACAATTTCGTATTAAATCTATTTTCCCAAAATAAAAATAATCTAAATAAACTGCCTCACAGGGAAGTTAAAGGAATTTTACGTTACCAAGGGTTCCCAGACCAATTTTGCCTAAAACACATTCAGAGCGCAGGAAAACTGTTCTAGGTAACCTTTAGGTAAGTCGAATTTTGTATTTCCCAAATATGCTGTTTGATTGAATTTTAATACACAACTGCGCGAATTTAATTACAACAATTTTACAGGGCGGGATGTTTTTCCACTTAATTATTCCAATGCATGACGCTGTTAGGGGATTTATGGGTTGGTCAAAAGGCGGTAAAATATAAAATTCCATTTCTCTGTATACAATAATTTTTTGATTGTTATTTATAACTAAAGGGCAAGACGGCCCAAGGTCTATGGAGAATTTAACTTTGCATAAAACTCTTTTTCTTATTTTAAAAAAAGTTTTAAAATCTTTAAAATCATCTTTTGCATAAAACATAATCAAAAATTGTTACAACAAAATTAATATTTATATTTAACTTTTTAAACGATTTGCAGACCCAGTTTTTAGATTAAATAGAATAAGTTCGTCATCCATGGCCGGTGAAAGGTTTACATTACTTTTGTGAATCAAACCCTCCACTGTAGGAATGAAAGTAAATCTGAAATTACGCCTGCAGTTCCCTTAACGACATCAAAACACTTT